CATGTATGGCCGCCATCCTTTCATGGAAACACGTACAACAGTGTTTTCCAACTGAACACCGTAACTTGCAATGAACACAGCGATGGGTCCAGTCCAATGGCCACCAAGAAATTATGCCAAACATAGATAGCTTTCACATTGGCAAACAAGAGATCCAACATTTCATATATTTGCACCACTTCATTTGTCAAAACCCAGGTTGTTGGGAAATAACACGAAAAGACTGTGAAACTTTTGTAACCACATCGAAAGTTCAGGAAACAATCCCGATCGCTGACGGCATGATTTCGAAATTTTTGGCAGCAAACTCTTCGACAAACAAATTCCAACACCGCTGTGGCCACTACCCCCTGCCAAGGACAATCTATGCCCACCAGGTGTCGCAACAAGTTCATCGCTTTCGTCCCGCCAAGTTTCAGTCAAAAACCTGATGTCGAGCTCAACATTGTCAATTTCAGCTATGAAATCCTCAAACCGTTCACTGCCACAAGTTCCTGATTCCTGCCCCACATCACTCGTCGGATGGTTGTCCAGCCTTTTTATGACCAATCCCTACTCCAAATCATCCATGAACGCATCCATGGCTTCACGCACCTCCTCCTTCACCAAATCGTCACGCGACCACTCCACCACACACCCGTCACTGAAAGCAGCCACTTGCACAAATTTTCCATCCATGCGGGCACTGACCTTGAAAAACTTTTGGAAGGAAACCACCTAACTCAATGACACATTTCTTCAGTTTGCTTGCGGCTTTGCACCGCGTCCTTTCAGCCTTCGATCGGTTTTTTCTGACGCCCAAAGATTGTGATCACGCATGGTGACATTGTGTTCCTGTCCCCGAATGAACTTCATGGCTTGCATTGGCCTGGCAAAATGAACAAACCCAATCGGGGGGTCAGAAGCAATGACATGCAGTTCTTGGAATCCGTGCGCGTGTTTCATGAGATCTGCCAACATGTTTTTTGCTTCTTCCATCGATTTGTTTTCGAACCCACCGACGACCACCATACATTTATCGACCGGTTCAGCACCAGCTTGCATCACCCGCTCTTTCAAGAATGTTTTCTCAACCTTCTCCAAGGGTCCAAGCGTTTCGCCAGCTCTTTATGACTAGGCATGTTTTCAAACTGCGTCACGGTGTTCAAGTTGCTGTCTCTTTGTTTTCTCGTCATACAGATCCTCTCGAAGGTCCTCCACAAGAAGGCTGATGTTAGACGTGATCCTGTCCTCCATGTTCTCCGTTGTTCTGGAAAGGCTGGTTGTGACACCTGACCACGGGGAGCAACTTTGGAACGAGCTGCAGCCTGTGCCCTCTGTCGCACCCCTCTTCCGGATACGGGTTCTATATGAAACCCGTGACGTGTGAATTTTGAGTCTTGTACGAGACGCTCGTTTTCGAGACGCGGAACTGGCTTATTGGTAGAAAGGGAATACGGGAAGCAGCTTCTGGGAACCGTGGCCTCACAACTGGCGACTTGGTAGTGCAAATGTTTTGCGGGAAACTTTTGAAACTGTCCTGGGCCCCTTACCCGGCACCGGCAGAAGCATCCGCGCCAACCGACCCGCACCGCCCAGCCCCCGACCTACCAGCCCACCAGTTGTTGACCAACTTTCGCCGCGCGCGCAAAGGGACAGCTCTTGGGCCTGCCGGCCCTACACCAGAAGTGCTACGCATTGCTACGCTTGGTCCCGGATGAAGAGGACATAACGCAAGCAATCCTCACGGTCGCAACCAAACTCGCCCACACCGAAATCCCAGCAGAGGTCAGCCGTGCCTTTGGCCTCGGACGCTTTGTCACGGCAGGGTCTGCGGGATCGTGGTCGGTGATTTGTTCAGGCGGTTAGTCGCCAGATGCCTGGCCCAAACCTTAGAAGAACCCATTGCCACAGCATGCCGCCTCCATCAATTCGCCCTTTCCACCGGGGCTGGGGCAGAAGCAGTCGCCCACAGCATCACAGGAGCAGTCGAGGCCAACCCCACACTCACTGTCCTCCCCATAAACGGTGTCGGAGCCTATGGCTCCACCTACAGACACAGCACGCGCGCCGCCTTGGCTGAAGTGCCCGGGACAAACTGGTGTTCGCCATTCATGAGTATGTTTTTTTCCCAATCCTTCAACTTATGTTTGGCATGACCAGCACGGCCAACCACACACCATTCACCATCACACTGGCTGAAGGGGGTGGACAAGGAGATCCTCTCATGCCTGCCTTGTTTTCCTTGGGCCACCGGGCAGCCTTGCAAGATGTGCAGCAATCCCTTCACGAGGGCGAGCAGTTGTTCGTTTTCCTCGAAGACGTCTATCCTTGTCTCCCCAGACCGGGTCCGCCCAGCGTATGACATGCTTGCGCACCACGTGTCCCGATCTGCACACATCGCCCTCAACGAGTCATCCATGATCATGCGCCCAAATACTCGCTGGACCGGGGATGGCAACAACCAGCCACCCAAGCATGCCACAATGCACCGAAGTCCTCAATTCCCTGGACCCCGCCAGCCAAGCCCTGTTCACCACCAGCCCATACAGTCACAACACAACATACCCCCCTCACTTGTTTTGCTTCCTGCTCCTCCGCCGTTTGCGGCCTCCTCCCCTTGACCGCCCGCCAGTGCCGGTGCCGTCGCACTCTTCACCCCTTCGGCGACCACCGGGCTGCGTAGCCATAAGCGAGGCAGAGGCGTCCCCTTAGAGCGCGCGAAAGCCACAATCTGCAGAGAAGCCGGGGCCAGGGTCACCACCCACACCCGAGTCGCCGACCTCAACATAGACCTGCCCCATCGCCACGATGAGCGCAGAATCGAGGTCATCGCCAATGGCTTGAACTTTTGGGGCGGCGCCCAGTTAGCCATCGACACAACATTAGTCTCTCCACTCACGTGGGATGGGCAACCCCGGACACATGCAGGCACCACCCGGGAACCGCTACATATCCCGAACTGCTGGTGTCCCGTCGCTGCAAACTCGTCGTGCTGGCAACTTCATTCGGCCGTTGGCCACGTCCAAGGCCCGACAGGCCCCTGCCATCCTACAGCAAGCCATCCAAACAGCTTTGGTCTCCCGGTGGTCAGGTCCTCAGCCACGCAGCCAGCCAGACGTTTGCAGTGTGCAGCCAACCTCAACGAGGAATTGTCCCCCCCCACCACAACATCGGTTCCAACCTCTCTCCCATCAGCCAACTCCTTGCAGAAACACCGCTGGCACCCCCCCTTTCCAGCCGCCTCCCCCCATAACCTTGGACTTTACACATCTGGAGACTGGCCAGTGTAAAAACAGCCTGCCCCAGCACATCTGGCGACGGGCCTGTATAAAACCGTCCGGATGTGGCCAACGCGTAGGGCACAAGTAGTGCAGGATGTGGCCAAATTACGTCTGTGATGCCGCACTTGGTGTCACACGGTTGTATCTCGGTTGTGGCACACCGTGTGGCGACATGACGTGTGCATTGTCGTTGCCCCATGCGGCCCTGCCCTGCCTTGCATGAACCCGTGCCACTGGGGGAACAGACAGTGCTGGTGTATACGCGACGTCTTGTTGGGGAGGGGGATGGTTGGCAGTGCGCATCAGGTCCTCATGAGTGTCTCCTACAAGGGTGTTCCAAAAGTGTCCCGCAAGAGTGTTTGACAAGAGTTTCCCACAGGAGTGTCGTACAAGAATGTCCCGCACAAGTGTCCTTGGCAAGGGCGTCTTACAAAAGCATCCCATTCGAGCACGGTGCAATGTTAAAGGGTTTTGCGTTTGGGCTTGGGAGCGCTGGAAAAAGGGCTTTGTTGTGTAGCAACGCGTGCCTTCCCCCTTGGCCTATGGAAGGCTGCAAATTTCTCAAGGCGAGTGTTGGGAAACGGGAAAAGGGAAAATCGGGAGTTGTCCAAGTAAGAAAGGGCCAGTGGCCATCAATAAAGCAACAAGAACAGGATCAAACAATGTCGGTCCCTGGTCCATTCGTGCCCTGCCTTTGGTTCCCTGCTCGTTCGTCCCGTGTCCCCAAAAAATTGGTCCCCTTGTTCATGTGGTGCCCTAGTCCATTGGCCTCCTGGCCCTTTGACGGTGATCACCAAAAAAGGGTGTTCAAAGATACATATATGCCCACGGGTGAACAATGAAAGGAAAAGGAAACTAAACAAACACAACCGCGACCAAAGGACTATGAAATGATGTTTGCACATAAAGAAGTAGGCGAAGGTGTGCAAAATTCAGTGTGGAGATGCGATGGGGTGACCTTGAAAAGGTCGATCGTGGCCGACCCTGTGCATGGGCCCAAGCAGTGCAAATTTCATGGCGCCGGAGCAAGGTTGCAAACGAAACAAACCACAACACTTTGAAGGCATCACAAAACACACTACCATCGAAAACTAGCCACCCGTGAGGGGCTCATCCACCACAGGGCAATGAAAGGATGCTTGGAACCGCTTGCAACACAAAATGAAAAAGACTTAGGAGGGTGCATGCAATCTCTTGTGTGCGCGATGGGTGCCCGCACGACCTTGAAAAGATCTGTCGTGGTAGGCCCAGCGTATTCGCAAAAGTAAAATTTTGTCGCGCTGGGTTGGGGGAGGGCGCACGGCATCCCCCCGAAGCGCGCCAAACATCAAAAGCCATCAGGCTCAAAAGGTATTATAAAAATAGATGCCCATCGAAAACTACACACCCCATTGCCTCATCAATGAAGGAAACTCAGAAAGTGACGCCAAGACCAAGGCAACCGGACAGCGCTTTGTTTTGCACACCTCGTGATTTTGACATAGATTGACAATAACACGGGACCCGAAGATACTTTATTAATGCGGTACTTGTTTTTTTAAATAATCCCTCACCCAAATGGGTTCTTGTCATCGCGCGCTTCCCCTCCAGTTGTTCCTTCGGCCGACAGATGGACAAATACTTTGCCACACCAAACATTAACTCGAGAAACTTCTTGTGGACTGGCCTGACGGACTGGCAGATGTGGCCTGGAACGCTTCAAAGGTTCACCCACTCCCATATGCCGTTGGGGCCGTCAGGAAATGTTTTATTATCAAGGGCGCACTTGACGTCCCAAAGGCTGTAGTGTTGGTTTTGTGAAGTCGCCTGCCATGGTCGGGTCCTTGGATGATTATGGCGCACGCCGTGATGCGGAGAATGCTTGGCCCAATTGGCCAAGGTGCTGGAAGCCCTTGGGGCAGCTGTTTCTGGGGCTGTGGCCCTGGGGACTAGCAATTGGGATATGTGGGGGATGACCGGGGGCTTTCCCGGCCAATTTCTTCCATTGCATTGTTATTTTCAGACTTGCTTTCATCAAGTGGATTTTTACGCACCCACGGCAGGTCTTGCTACTTCGGGACGTGGTGCCCAGGTAGATCAAGCTTTTCAAAGGAGCTTGTGTGCTTTACTTGCTTCATTCAGTGTTCGTGAGTTTTTGAACCCCTTCGATTGTCACAGGAAACACGACCGAATTGACTACAAGGCAAATGCAAGGTTATAAATTCTTTTTGATGGCATGATTCTATTTTTGGGAGTTGTTCTCGCAGGTCACACGGCAAGGCCTTCACCGAGATGACATCTCAGATCTCATTCAGTTGACCACTGGCCGGGCCTCTGTGTTTTTTTGAATGTAGGCATGGCATAGTGGCAAGCATTCCAATAGCAGGTCGGATGGATATGCCGAAGGCTTAACTATATTTTTGAGTGGGCGAACCTGTTCATTGCCTCCAGCGGCTGCGAAACAGTTTGCACTGTAGGTACAACTTGGTGGGTGCTCTGTTGCTGACCTTCGCGCTGCGGTGGATCACCAGCAGTGCCTTTGATATTTTCACATGCACTCCATGAAGTGTCCGTCAGCATTCTAATGTGAATTACTTCTTGTGTCGGCCTGGGCAGGCGATTTGGTCGTCGTTCCAGACTTTCCTCATTGGCCGGTTTGGTATTCGACTGTATTTGTCATCGCTTGCTTCTCTTCAGCAACCTGACGGCAAGATGGGGCCACATTCTAACGTGAACACATCAAGTGACAGGGCCAAGCTACACATGCCATGTTGAGCAACATGGCCACACAGAGTGCCGCTGTTTAGCCAACGGAAGGTTGGCTATTTGATCTTCTCCCTGTGGTTTGCCATGCACTGTTCCATAACTGCACAGGACGGATGGTTCCATACAAGTTGATGTTCACTTCAATGGTTTGGCAACATTCGCAAACCTGTGAAAGATCTGGCGGGAGGCCCTCGGCACGCGCATGCGTCTCAACTTCACAAGGCTTGGAAACAGATTGTCGTGTGATGGAAGCGCTCCTGAGCCTTGTCATTTTCAGAGTTCTAAACTACATATTCAGTCCATAGTCCATTACGGGAAATGGATCCCGTCCGTCACCGCAGCTGTTTAACAAAAATGGCCAAACACAGAAGAGCTGCACTTGCAAGCCTAGTCTTGTGCCTGGGCCTTTTGAAGCCTTTGGCTTTTTGCGCAGCGGAGCTGGCGAATGAAGGTAGTTCCCAATGAAAGACTTTTTGTGAGTCAGCCTGACCCAAGGTGGTTTGGAAATGGTCCGAACGACAACACGGCTAGCTCTGGACCAACAGCAACTGGTTGAAATCTAGATTCCACTTCAATTTTGCCGAATACAGCCACGGGCCGGGCAGCTTTGGTGTGCTGAGGGTCATGAATGATGATCTGGTTCAGCCAGAAAGATGCTTTGGAGCACACGGCCACCGGGACATGGAAATTCTAACCTTCATCATCCACGGGCAATTGACCCACAAGGACTCCACAGGAATAGAGGAGACTTTGGGCCGAGGTGGCTTGCAGTATATGACTGCAGGCACCGGCGTGCTTCATTCCGAACAGAATCTGCACCCTTTTGAGCCTTTGCGCTTCATCCAGTTTTGGGTGTTGCCTAGAGAGAGGGGACTAACGCCTCGATACGGCTCGATGCCTGGTGACGCTGTCGCAGAGGCCGCTCGCTTCAATCAGTGGAGTCATGTGGTCTCGGATGTGCTTGCGCAAGCGAATACGCCGGTGAAAATTCACCAGGACTTTGGGCCAAGCATTTGAGTGAGGGAACTATGAATATGTGAGGGTTTGTTGGTTAAAATCGTTTGTGAGATGCGATTGTTTGGCCAAACAATCCAGGATTGCAATGTGTACCTGTTGGACCTGACACATCAAGCCACAGCGCAGCTAATGATTGATACAGGTCGACAAGGCTATTTGCTCTGCGTGGAGGGCAGTGCGAAGTTGCAAGATGCCGACGGACAGGTACGTGGGATGCGGCAGCATGATGCTGCAGAGTTGAAGGGCCCTCTATTTCTGGATGCCAAAGCAGATGTTGGTGGAGCATTGCTGTTGTTACTTGAGATGGGGCATACTTCGGATGAGCGGAGTGATTTGTAGAAAGTTGGTGGGTATCGAGTTGTGGAACCGCGAGTCATAATTTTGATTTGGCATGGGGTTCCTGGAGAGATGATGGGCCCCAGCGCCGAAAAGAGAGACCTTTCGCATCCTTTCGCCGCTCTTGTACAGGCAAACCGGAGAAAGGTAGCCTCAACTTGTGCACGTTTTTGTCCATAGTGTCGCAGTCCATAGAGTCGAAACTCCAAAGTCTGGATTTTCTCACGTAATTGCCACAGCGGCAGCACACGCTCAAAACAGGGCTTGCAAAATGAGTGAGAAGAAAGAGCAGATGGCTGTCGGCAAGGGGAACTAGATGCAATAGGGCGCTGGAGTCTGGTTGAACTCTAGAGTCTTGAGACGCATTCGTTTGGAGGTTGTCTGTGCCGGACAATTCTACGATCTCTAAGCTGAAGGTCCCATTCTTCATTCCTGGAGGAGTCTGACCCTCAAGTAGCGTTTCGAGATCCAAACAGGCACAGGTAGCGCCCCGGCTGAGGCATTAGAAAAGGTTCAGAAGACCGTGTTCGATGCCGACTCGCCACAGTTGCTGGAACATGCAGACTTGACACCACATTCAAGACCATTTGCACGGTTGTCCTTGCTAAACCAAGCGAGCATCTTGGTGGAGGGAGGGTTCCCGAGTTTTTTTGGGCCAGGGGTCGCTGGATGGCGTACAGCTTCGCAAGGAGCAATCACATGCAACCAACGAGTTATCCCAAAGCTCTCTTGCAGAGGTGTTGTCCGCTTAAAGTGTTGCTTGATCCTGCAATCAAGTTGCTGAAGGGGAGAGGGAGAGGCAGTCAAAACCCATATTGTTTGAACATGTCGAGCAGTAGTTGAACGAAGAGAAGAGGGAGAGGGAGAGAGAGGGAGAGAGCCAGGAGCTGGTGGCTGATTTGGAGCGTGGACATGAGGCGTTGGCGTGTTGACTGTCTTGCCTTTTCAATTCGTTTCTTTTTTTTGTGTTGGTTCAATTTTTGGACGGGGCAGGCTTGCACTGTTGTAGCAATGCCAACGCACGTGAGTGCATAGCTGTTCTGTTGGAGAGTTGAGCAGATGCACCGAGATCCCATTGACACCGAGCTGTCAGGTGTCTGCTATTGACGATGACCTCTCCACCGCCTCTGCAATCTCATCTCATCGGTCATTGCCAGCCTATGTGTCCCGCCCCTCGGAGTGGCGAGACCACAACGACAAGGAGCTGATTCCAACTGGGTCGGCACGGCACGTGTGTTTTGCCATCTCACATTCAGCTTTGTGGGTCATATGAGTCCTGTCAAGGGCCGAACCGTTTGGTGCGTCCCATGGGTCCCACGGCAGAACGACGACGACAAAGACTTTGAGAAGCATCTCCGGCGCTGGATTCGCTTGCGTGGGCACTGGTTAGGCTATGATGCCTACGCTCGTGCCTGCATGGTGGACGCTTGACGGGAACGCTTCGATGTGGTTGTGTATATATATATATACATATGATGTGTGTGTGTATATATAAAGCGCGTTTTGTCATGATTGAGGACGGACTGACTTTTAAACATCACAACGTGCTTCCCTTCCTCAAAGGTGGGCATGAACCAGATGCTCCAAGCATTGACCTACCACGTCGTCTGGGGCTTGACCATTCGTGTCAGTTTGCGGATGCCTCACTGTGCCTTTCCTCAGGTTGCAGTTTGCTGGAAAGTTTCGGCCATCACTGCTTTTGCTTGCTTAGCGTTGGCAAAGCTGCTGACAGCACATGCCCCAGGATTCCAATCTCCATCCACTCCACCATTGATTTTTGAGAATTGTCGCCTCTGCAACGCTGAGTTGTGTGTGCTCCGGATTGATGTGAACTGTGCGAAGCCTTACACTTGCCTGGGTTACTTGGCATGAAATGCAGTGCAGTTTGGGAGTGGGCCCAGTAAGATAGACTTGACAACTGGCCTTTAGGCTTCAGGGATGGAACACATTTGGTCAATGATGTGAGATTGGGGTTCGTGTACGCCACTTGAGGCTATTGTCTTCTTTTGACGCCACTTGGCAGTGACTTACAACAACGCGCGCCAGTTGACATGGAAGTTGATGCCCTTAAAGCCTTAAAGCCTGGCGTGCCTTCAAACACAGATATATTTAGATACACTTGAACCACTGTAGGCTGGAAGTGGCCCCTCCCTTCTGTGCAACGACGCTTGACTGCGCTAACCAATTACAGCATGAGCTGAACATTCCTTGTGCAGAGAGGATCCTTCTCGTGATTTACACGCCTGGGGTGGATTGGGATGATTGGATTGAAGGAGCCATGTCGGAGGCATGTTGGGCATGTGCGATACATTGTCAATCATCTGTTGTACCAGACTTTGGGTCAGGAGCTTTGGCATTTCCGATCTTCCTCATGCATTGCCTGTGGACGCTGTACCTGCAGCAACCTCACCTTGATTGTGCCGATGTCTTTTTTTGTGTCTTGCCATCAGGGCGTCGCAGCTATCTCCAGCGGATGAGCCTGTATTCAAAGGTGCAGGACTGGGGTGAGATGTCCATATACATATTTGATTATTTGCAGTATATATACATATACACATCTCTCTCGCTCTATATGTGCAATGATTTCATCAAATATTTAGTTTCCACTGCTGGCGCATGTTGGCCCGTTCTGTCGTTCTCGTTTTGCGCAGACCCCAATCATCACTGCTCATCGGACGAGGGGACAAGTGACGAGAGCATGGACGATGATCTCGAAAGGTGCACTCGGCCTGGAAGCCTTCCTGATTGTTGGTACTAGCTGCTGGCCTGCCAGGCACCACGAGATGATAAAGAGGGCCTCATTCGGTTTGGGGAATTTGCCCAGGCGGCCCGAGGCTTTCTGAGGAGTCCTTTGCGAAAACTCACACCTAGCCCTGACGAGTTCAAGAGTTGCATCACCAAGGCTTCAGGGAGCTAGATGGCTTGATATCATCAGGCTGCTAGCACGAGTGGTGCAGACAATTCCTTGCCCAGCAGCCTAAGCAGCAAATCATGCTTTGTTCAGACTGGAGCAGCCTGTACCTCGAGACGAGCTGGAGGAGGAGTGGATAGGGGTCGATCCACTTCCAGGCCAGCCCTACTCGTACCATCACAAAGAGATGCATTCATGCGGGTAGTTTGCTCTTAAAAGTCGATTACAGCCGAGGTCCGTCGAACTTGCCATAGTTCTTTTTGAGCGGGAGAGTGCTGATGACAACATTGCACTTGCCCGGATTGGTGATGGGGAGTACGTAATACATGATCGCTTTTCATTTCCCTGCATGTGTGGAGGGACGGGTTTTGCATGTGCATCGCACCAGGTCTTTCACTGAATGAATTAGGATAATCAAGATTATATATGTATCTTCAATCCAGGCTAGTTTGGGAACTGATGGATCCATATAGATCGTTTGCATCCTGTAGCATTTGGTAGATGGCAACCATTGTGATGCGACGTTGGAAGGAGATGTGACGTGACCTACTTAAATCATATTAGCCTGGTCACCATCATCGGAAGCTTCGATCAGAAAGTTTCAAGCAACAGGGGTTTCAAACGGTACAGGCAGGAGGGTGTCTACGCGCGCTGTAATTGCATCAGGTGTGCAGCGGTAGATTTGGGCTTGCAGGTGAACTGGGAATTGCAATGCGGGCTTGGATTCTGGGTGATCTGCCAGAGACAGGTTTCGATTTGCACTTCACCAACGCACTCCGTCAAATCACACCACTTCACTACACAACAAACCACCGCACACACACACACACCGACTGCTTCACCATCATAAAACCTTGGCCAGCGCTTGCCGAGTCACATTCTGAAGTTTGAGGTGACACGGCTCAAGTCTGAACGAATATTACGGTTCATTATTTGCTCCCCTCCAACTTCATTGATCAGGCAGGTCCGGCACAAAGAGTCCTCTAACAAAGATGCATGTATAATCTCAAAGCAATGCTGAATCACCAGAACCACTCAGTGGGTGCGGGGCGGCAAGGCTTACACACATTATACATGAATCCTGCGAAGGGCAGAACAGTTATATAAATGCGCATCGGATCGAGCATGTTGTCAGTCTGAGAGGCCAAATTACTTTGCGCTTTACATTGACCTTGGCTGGGATTTGGGTGTGCGCAACTGGGCTTGAGTGGTGGCTTCACGGCGCATGTTACACTGTCTACAAGAATCCGTCAGATGTGCGTGAGTGTAGCAGTATGAGTTCCAAGGCCGGGTTGGCACATATGGCTGGGACTGCGACTGGCAACTTGCCTACACACTGTGCAGAAGCTGTATATGAATCAGGAAAGCGAGCCGATAGGCTAGGCGAGAGTTGTTTTCGATACCGCCACCATTTAGCAAAAAGGAGTGGCAAAGACTGTCAAACAGTTTTGATTTTGGGGTTTTCGAGATGTTGATGAGTTTGATAGATACATTGCATCATTTGCCTTTTGAGTGCATTTGTAGGTTGATGGATGGCTAGCTGGATAGGTGGGTGATAGCAAGACAGAGAGAGAAGCTGAAGAGATAGAAAGATAGAGATATGGAGAGATATGGCGATTGCTAAGTAGATGTAGCTAGATGTCAAAAGGTGATACAGTGAGTAGATTTTAGATAGATGTGTGCAGAGTGGAGTTGGACGAGTGGGTGGTTTGCGTCGTCTCCTCCTTTCAGGTTTGCGAGAATGAATTCGCTCGGTTTTTGGTGATTCCCAGGCTGGGACCAGGCCGTGGTCATCAATTGCGATGAAAACAACTGCACAGGCTTGGCCTTGAACATGCAATTGCTTGATATGTGCTTGGCACAGCTTTTTGGTTGGAACGGAATCCAGGTCCTGGCAATACGCCAGTGGTTTGGCCACATGCAAGACCAAGACCACACCACAGGATAAAAGCCAGACGGCTACGGTGTGAGCCTTTGAGGTTCAAGATTGAACACTTTCCGACGATGTTGGCTGGATTTGTGCTTTCGTTTCAGTTTGGTCAGCCAGGTCTGTTGCGAGAAGGGTGCTCCAGTCTGAGTGGCCAGCACCCGCGAGTCTTTTTCAGGCCGCCTGCTGGTACCGGGTTGTCCTTCCAGCTGATCCCAGAAACAGCTGGAGTAAGCAAGAACAGTTTAAGCTCTGGAGGTCAACTCTTTGCACTGCGGGAGGAATGCGTGGCTGGTTTGCATACTTATGCTGGCAAGACGCATGGGACCAAATCAATTGACCAATCCGGACCAATCCCATATTTTGATATGGTTTCGAGCCAGAAAGGCTTGGCGACAGAATTGATGGTAGATAGGGCATTTTCAAGGCATGCCCCGACGATGTTCCTGTTGCTTGGGGTTCCAAGGAGCGAATTCCAGCTGTTTGTCCACAACGGCTTTGACTTTTTTGGCGCCAATCGCGTGGCTGATGAGCTAGTGGGATTTTTCAGGCTAGACTCAGTTCAAGTTCATCAGAGCAAGCCTTACTAGAAATTTTCATCAGAGCATGGAGCATGCCTAAGCTGAGATTTGATTGCTTAAAAGAGCTTGCTTTTCCTTCAGGTTGGGCATTCCAGACGAGAGGTCGCTCGTGCCACCTGACACCAGTTATACACGGTTTCCTTCTTTGTGCTTGTCGGCATGATCCTGACTTGCAAGTTGCTAGGTTTTGTACCGCTGACTGCTTTTCCCTCATCGCCGAAGAAAATAGTTCTTGGAGCACTGGGCCCAATTAGATGACCATAACATTTGTGATGCATTTGGGCCGAACTTTTTGCTTGCATGGATGTGCAAGGCTTGAGGCTTTTGAACAAAGCAGCGGAGCCGCTGACGCTTGGACCCTGCACGAGCCCAGTTGTGGTTGCCACAGATGACTTCTTGTGGGATCATATTGACACCTATGCACACACACACATAATATGGTTTCTCCATTTTTTCCACGAATGCTTGAAGCCTTGAACATCAAAGTGTTGGTGTGACTCAGGAACCCTGGAATTTTTGTGCGGAACGTGCCAGCCTTGGCGATCTTGCTCGCCCGATGGGTCTCAGCTCACCATTCTCCAGAAACCATGTCGACTTGCAACATGCAAGGCTTTAGCGGCGATTCCACTTAGACTCTTACGATGTCATGTGCTTTTGCTTCTTCCTATTGTGGCAAGCGAGCAGGGACATTTTAGTAGTTGCAGTCTGCACTACAACCTCAGCCAATAAACAGCTTTTGAGTAGTTTGGGGCAAAACAGACTCTCAGGTGATTGTTCCGCCCACGTGGCGGCGTATCTCGGCAGCCTGGCAAGGACTCGATGTAGTGCTGGCAGGACCCACGGGTGACTATTGAGCTGAGTTCGGTCGCTTGAAAAGCTAGAGAAATCATAAGGTAGACATTTGGATGATAAACCTTCCTGTGCACCTCAAGGATGGGATGGAAGCGGGATTGTCACAGCGAGGCTGCAACAGGAGATACTTTTGGGCCCGCAACGAGACGACAAAAGATTTGAGATGACTCCTTTTGGCGATTGCTACTTTTTTGTGGGGGGCAAATCTGTGCAATAGCAAGCCGTGCATGATGGCTGGGCAGTTGCAAAGCACCTTTGGCTTTAGTGAGGACCGGCTTTCGGGAGCTTGGCATCTGGAGCAAAGATTCAAGGCCGGGACATGGTGTTGCTCTAGGAAAGTCTGGCCCGGCTTAGGGCCGTTCTTTTTTCTTCCCAAACTTGCTAAGAGCGTTTGCAGCGATTGGCTCACTGCAGGTGCAACCTGGTGCAGGCTCCTGTTTCCGGTAAATGTTGCCTAGCAGCCTAGCAAGTAAATTGAAGAAGGGCTTGCTGACAATGCCTCGGTGGCTATGTTGCAGTCCACCGGTTACGGGTTTTGGTGTTGATTGACCGGAGCTTCAGAACAGCTATGGCAGGCCTTTGCTATGCAAGCGCAAGAACTTGTAAGCGACACGCTGCAGAAACTTATGCAGATGTGCAAGCTTTACAGATTGGCATAGAAGGCGGGATGCAAGCTTCGACTGGTGTTAACCATTCTGTGATTCTGTGTTTGATTCATTCTGTTTTCTCGGAGGTCAAACCCTCGCGGTGCTTCATAGCCGCTTGGCTAGCACACAAATCCAATGCCTCACAACTCGTGCTATGGTGCTGGTCAAGCATGTTGTGGAAGTAGGCCAACTGCGAGATTGATTGAATCAGCCGTGATGAAAGGTGGCAACCGCCTTGATTTCTGGGATTTAATAGATGGCGCCTTCTTGGAACAGCTCGATCTTGGCGTTGCTCACAGGCTTGTTTAGAGTTCTCAGCAGGCTTAGCATGCCACGTTCCAACACACGTCTCTCCTTAAGATGTCACTCGCTCTGCTAGGGCAATGTGCCATGATGATCTAGAGCTGCATTTGGCCCGGCAGACGCCCGGGGGTCCGGTTGTGGAGGTGCTACCATTGGCCTGGAGCCCCAGTTTAGGGCAACTGGTGAAGGCATCCGACATGCTGGACACAACCTATTAGGATGTTTGGATTCTTGTAGCTGGCTCGCAGGTCATGAAAGACACGCACCAGATTTTCCAGCGACTGCCCAGACACACGGGAGTCACCACCAAGAGCCCCGCAGAGTGTGAGGATATCCCAGAATCGGTGAGGTGCAAAAATGCTCTAGAATTGGCCTAGAATGGTTTTGCCATCTTATGGCGCTTCAAGCAAGAAGACGGAAGCGACACGCTGGAGCTTCAAGCGGCCTGCTGCGAGCTATGGCGCTCGAGGATTGGGAGCTGACACGCTGGTGGCGAGAAGGAACTTGTCCTACCAGACGCGTTCAGCTCATAGGGTGGAGATGACCATGTACAAACGAAAATAGATTGCCAATCGACACGAACTCTCCTACGTTGAGCAGCGCGGGCAAACCAACTAAAGTCTGGTCAAGTATCACTGGCTCTGCGTGCTTGGGAGGGCTGGCTCAATTGTGTAGAGCAAGAGGGTCGACACACTAGTTCTGAAAGAGCAGAGAATCTTGCAGAGACCTCTCACCAGAGCCCGAGGTCTCGCTCTTAGGTTGGAGGCCATCGCTATTAGGATCCATTAGGAACCAAATGTCGTATGTTACAGCTTCTTGTTTTTAGTAGTAAGGCCAGGAGCCCCGAGTAGCGTCCTTGCTCCTAGTAGCGATGCCAGGAGCCCCTAGTAGCTTCTTGTTACATCGCTTCTTGTTACATGATGTCACATGATGTTGGAGGCCCCGGGTGCTTTGAGCCAGAGCCCGATGAGTTTGTCCTAACCCCCCGACAGCGAGACTCTCCAAGATCCGATGGATTTGCAACTTGGCCACGCTTCGTCGGTTTCGAAAGTCTGGCATCTTAGCCGGTTCGCGGACCTTGTGATTTCAGTTCTGAAGGGTCTATACATTGGATGTTCTTGGCACCCTTTGGCGGGGCAGATTGTGCGATGAGGCCATTGAGGCTGAGTTTGCTGACTGGCGGCCAAGTTCACCTTCAAGCAGGGGAGGCCAAGGCCACGATGGCGCAGCCGACGTTGGCGGTCGGGGGGGCCACGATCTGGAACAAGATCATCAGGAATCATCATAGATTTGGATCATATACTGCATATAATCACGTCCAGACTGCTGAGTTGAGGGGCAACCCGGTGGCGCGGCCCACTAGTCATTAGCTCACACTCGCTTCAGGAAGAGTTTATGATTTGGCCAGTGGTGAGGGGAATGAAGTCCACAAGTGCTACCAGTTGGAGGAAGAGGAGCGCCTTAGATGAAACATTGGCTGTGGCTGCAGGTCGGCCCTGTGAGCAGCGTTCTTTTGACTAGCTTGCAGGTCTATGTTTTGAGCTGCCGCGTGAGTGAGAGCCTGTCATTTTGAGCTTTCTGAGAATGTGGGGCACACCTTGATGGTACAACAATTCCCATTACTGTAGGTCCAGAAAAGGCAAGCCAACAAACCCGAACACGCAACACTCATCCAAGGAATGCTTACTTGTCGGCTGTGCAGCTTCTCAAAGAGATGGGCCCTGGACGTGCAGAGGACCGTTTGATTCTTCGAATGAACAGCAACACTCCCACCATGCTCATTGTGGCGGAGAAAACTAGCAGTGGTAAACACACACACACACATATATATATAATATACACATATCTCTCTCTATATGCTTAAAGATTTAACATAACTAATTTCTTTGACATGATCTGTCACATGCAGAACAGCCTGTCGCACTGTCACACGCGGAGAGGCAGAAGTAGTGTGGAAGACTTGCGTGCTGCGTCGCTTGTCAGATTCGATAAAGCAGGGGGTTTCCAACCTTCTTTCTGCAGGATCCTGAACACACATAACACATGTAAACCTCAAGTTTGACGTGCGAGCTAAGGTGAGAAGCTCCGCTTGGCACGGTCTGTGGCCCGCACTCCTGCTCGCAGTCAAGTATCCCGGCAGGCTGGGCCGAAGGTGCACGGCGCAATTAGGGGGTGAGTGCTTGTTGCAAACTGACCCCCAGCCCACACGGGCTCTGTCGGTTCTTCTACTCCAAACAACGTCTCGGTCCTATTCACTGAAGCAGATTTATGTTCTGCGTGCTTGGTGCAGAACTCCGATGATACCGGCGACACCAGCTACATTTTGGAAGAGGCACAGGCCGAGGATATTGAAGTTTGCCTGGGCCTAAATCGAACCAGACAGCTGAGCAGTGACTGCTGGACAACTCTTCGACGTTCCGAAAGAGAGAGAGAGAGAGAGAGGGAGAGAGAGAGAGAGAGGGAGGGGGAAGAAAGAAAGAAAGAACGACAGAAAGAAAGACATCCAGAAAGACAGAAAGAAAGATACATCCAGTAAGACGGAAAGACAGAAAGACAGAAAGAAAGAAACAAAGACCGAAAGACAGAAAGAAAGACAAAACGAAAAAATACAGAAAGAAAGAAAGACATAAAGAAAGACAGAAAGACAGAAAGAAAGACAGACAAAGAGAAAGACATACAGACAGAAATAAAGACAGAAAGACAGAAAGAAATACATAAATAATATGGTTTTCGGTTCTTTTCCGAAGCTCTTCAATGCACCCCTTTCTGTCTTTCTGTCTTTGTTTCTGTCTGCATTTCTTTCCCTCTTTCTGTCTTTATTTATGTATTTTTTTTTTCTTTTTGTCTTTCTTGTGGCAGCAAGAGAACCACCCTCTCAGCTCAGCGATACCTCAAGAACTGCCGTTTCTTAGGTCCTGAGAACTGGCCCGAGGAGTCCTTCCGGCCTTTGGCAACAGATTTTGCGTTCAACTTTGCGGAGCTCGATGCTGCGGAGAAGGAGATGAAGGTCACCAGTGACAAGCAAGCATTTGCAACAAGCACATGGGAGACACAGGCAAAACCATGCAAGCACGGCAATCTAGCTTCATGCTCATCTTTCATAGCTTCGACTGCCGTATCAAAACTGTCAGGCTGACGTCAGAAACCTGCTGCATAGTGTGCTGATGAGCTGGCGCCAGTCCATCCATCCCCAGTCGCAGAAAGTGACTGGGTGATCGACACAAAAGGCGAGAAGCCAAAGTGCAGATAGCTCAGCTAGCGCTGGCACACAGCAAAGGTCAAGTGATTGAGCAGAATACTAGATACTCCCGGTCACAATTACCAATAGGAAAAGCACATTATTTTTGCTCAAGGTGCACCTATTCCACACGTCCATTTAATATGAGAACGGCTGGGCCTAGGTCAGTGACCGGATTGTTAGGTAGTGCTAAGGATTCAGGGACTTGACTAAAATCACTGGAGCAGATCGAGAGAGTGGCCGGTGATCCACGAGTTTGCTGACAAGGGTGCCAAGATGTCGTTATTTTCCAGAGGTATTGAAGTCGGCCTCTCCCTTCAGGGCGACATAGCCCGACGCCCTTGACAGAATTTTCACATCTTTCAGACTGCCAGTCCTAGCGGCATGTTTTTGGGGCTGGGCACAGGCCACCCCGCGGGTGCAACCTTTTGCTGGACAGGTGCACTTTCCAAATCGGTGTCTCCTCTCCGGAATTGTGCAGGGTGCGTGGCTGTACAATGCAATGTTCAAGCAAAGGCCCAACGCTGACTTTCACAACAACTGACACATGCAAATTAAACTCAGAGCCCATGAGAAGCACCGAAAGGGAGGAAGGGAGCAACTGAGCCCTCCTTCCATAGAGAGGATGTGCTTGGTGAGAAGTGGAATTGTACAGGTCCATCTGGCAGGCCAAGACCCCCACAGCTTGCTGAAAAAAGGTTCTTGCACTGATTGCTTGTCAGCCTATCATGACTTCAGAGCCCCCTGCGCTTCAGGATAGTCTTGAATTTCTTGCGGGTCGAAGGCGGGTTTGCGTTTTGCTGTGCCAGTGAGACGGAAAAAATGACCATGCTCGATCATCGATCCAAACTCAGAATTAGTCCAGCCTTCTGCGAAGACACAGGTAGCTTAACGCCAAATCGTCGCAGGTCATCAGCGACAATGACGCCTGAGAAGTTTGAAACCTGAACAGGTCTCAAGCGTCCGAGGTCCTGCGAGCCCAGGCGCCGCCTGGGCAATCTACCTGTAGTTGCCCATTCAAAAAGCAGGGGCTGTGCGTTGTGGGGTCTTTTTGCGAATCAAAGGCTAGCCAGTTTTCGTCCTTTGCTTCCTGTCTCTGTCCCCCCCCCTCTCTCTCTCTCTCTTTGTCTCTGTCTCTCTTTCTAATTGTTTGCCAGTCCTCGTTCGTCGCTATCCGTTATATTAGATCCGTGCCACCTTTTTTCTTGTGTGTTTTGAGGCAAGATCTGGACCATGGTCACTTGAAAGAATAGTTCGGCGGGTTTCTCGTGGCTCCAGTTCGGTGCCAGGAGGTCCAAACCAAGCAAGCAAGCAAGCAAGCAAGCAAGCACTTGGGAACTGAAAAAGGTTTAGGATTGTAACAAGAAGACAAGAACATCCCAGCAAGACAATAAGAAACAGACAATAGCATCACGTGCAGCAAGACAATAACATCGCAAGCTTTGATAAGACACAGCATCAACTTCACACATTGCAGTATCCAGCAGTGTCATTCTAGCAATGGCGATCGTTGAGAAGGCAACCCCTGGCAAGACTGCCACAGTTTTTGTCGAGTTCCCAGCTCGAATTGCCGCGCGACTCCAAACTCAGAGTCGTAATGTAACCCGCCGCAAGTTGAGGTTGGCAACATTCCTTATGACGCCACCGAAGATGCAGGGTCCTGAGCATGTTGCAGGGGATCGTCCACTTGCAATACCTTTCCATCCAAAGAAAGTCAGGACGTGCGGGGACATCTTGCACAGGGTGGCAAGGCAAGGTCCAGTCATACGGGGAAGACATCTTCATTCCGACGGCCGGTCGCAACAGGTGGAGTCTTTCAGAATGGTGTTCGACAAGGACCTAAACATGACCTGTCATGCTATTGCTGACTTGATCCCATATGCCAGGAGACCCTCCAGCCGAAAGGCTATGGCTTCTGCGACTTCTCGGACTGTGAGAGAAACTCCATGAAGCTTTTGTGTGAGTTTATTGGAGCCTGGAATTGTGTGGACCCTGTTCACGAGTCTCCGCCACAAGCACCGCACATAGGACCCAGATACGGCAATAAAGGCCATCAAAATCCTTAGTGAGAAGGAGTGCAACGGCGAAGCCCTCAGCATATTGGTGAAGTAGTTGTTGGGCGACAAGTGAGGGAGAATCATGTTTGTAGAACTCAGACACACAATGTATGCATCCACCAGGCAAGGCTTGAGTTTCAACTGGAGTGTGGATCCAATCCGGTGCCAGAACATGGACATGCTGGTTGTCCAAGGCGACTAAACGTAGCTGCTTAGCAGGCCCAAGCTTTAGTGCTACATGATCCCATCATTGACGAATCCTGGCCTACACTGGCTTCCAAAGTCACTTGCTAGCCGAGGCACACACACAGACACAGAGTGATCAGTTTGCAAGGGGGAGAGGCCACGTGGCTTTCAAATTTGGAGCCCTTATATAACCCTACAGTAGAGATCTCTGTGCTAAAAACCCATGAAGACCCCTCCTTGAACATGTAGAGTAGAGTTGATTTGGATCTCTTTCTTTCTGAATGTGATCATGAAGAAGTTAACGGCAATGGATGTGAACAGAGGGTAGGATGACAGAGGCAGCATTGCCACTGTTCATTCGGGAGCCCACTGGGCCTTTGCAACGCTGCAGGGTCAAGCAGGTCATAATCCTTGCAGCCACCTTTACCGCTGGCTTTGCTTGTGGCTTTTCGGCTGCGAATCCGAAACTAAGCACCCCGACTGCATCGTCACTGTGGCTTCCAAGGCCCTGCGGTCCAGATGATGCGACAACAACGTCTACGGAGTCCCCGAAGCTGGAAATCACACCGCACGCCTGGCACGCCTCATCCTCCTTGCCCCATAGTACTACCTCTACCCATTCCACCACTCGGGCGAAGATGGGATCAACATCAACCACACTCCCTTCAAGTGAAACGATCATCGTCAAGGTGTTCGCGGGTGGAAATGGGAGACTGGGCAACAACATTGGCCAACTCTTGCACGGCTTAGCTTTTGCAAGGCGCATTCATGCAGACAAGGTGCAGCTTGTTGCCTCTGGTGGCCAGTTGCCTCAAGTCATGGAATTGAAGCTTGGCTTCACAATTGTTTTCCCCTCCCCAAAAAGCCAAGAAGTTGCACTGCTTGCAGAAGATGAGACCACTAAGGAAAGATTTATCATTAGATCTCCCAGATGCTGGAACGCTGCGGGGCGTTATCCCCAAGGAATGCAATGAAGCTGCGCAGGCGGCACGGATGAACAAAGAGCCTAACACCTATGCCAGTGGCTTTTGGACCACTCGTTGCTCAGGTGTTCCTGGGAGTGAGTATCACGACCTGGCTTTCCAGTACATTTGGCCGCTGCTGAAAAGCGAGGTGAAAGAGTGTGTTGAGAAACCGGATGACGCAGCCGAAAAACGGCTCACTGTACATTTGCGTGGCCAAGACCTCTGGAACATGGGCGAGTTTGATCAAGTTGCCAAAAAGCCGATCAATATGTCGGCTGGAGCGCACCACTGGCTATGGAACAATCCCCCATGTACGATGTATGAGAAGATCATCCAGGAGGATGGATACTCCGATGTGCTTGTAGTTACATCGCAGGATCGACGCCATGCATGCGTTTCTTGGTTTGAGGAGCTGCCTCGTCGGACAGGACTCAAGGTCAATGTGACCTTTCAGACAAGTTCGCTAGCAGAGGACTTTTGTGCCCTGGTGAAGTCCAGAAATATGGTAGTGTCTTTCTCAACCTTGTCTAATGCAGCTGCGGTGCTGAGCAAGAATCTGAAACGCATATATGTTCGGAACTTTGCGCAAAACTCCATGTTGAACTGTCAATTGTGGCCCACGGTGTCCATTATGCAGTACTACATGCCAAGCACTGAGCAGCACCATGAACCCTACAACAACACCTATGCAGGCGTGATTGAGTGGTTTCAAACCTACAATGTCAGTCTGATTGCGAGAAGAACTTCCTGCAAATGAGAGAAAAAGGCTCCGGAATGCACAGGGTACTCGTGGGAGGGCACTCTGATAGACGGGACACGATTGAGGACGCAAACGGCCTGCCAAACTAGAAACCTGCCACGTGTCTCATGCCGACTCAAGCCTCATGGCACCCTTGATGCTCTTGATATATCAGAATTTGTTGGGGGTGGCGGCGGCGTGATAGTCTAAAACTGGAAGGCAGCCCATCTTCATTCGATTTGGCAGTGTTACGCGTGACATGCCGTTTGGCTGGGGGTGTCTCGTTGCGGTGTGTGAGGCCGGAAGCTCCGGCTCGATCTGGCTGACAATGCGTTGACCTCGGTGAAGCCACGCTGTAAGGGATCGGAAGGTGGAACTCAAGAGCCTGTCTTTGGAGCCCGAGCAGGTGACAAGCCTGTAGCGCTGACAGTTTTGAACAGAATGTGCGGTAGATTTGGACTCAAGGAACTGCGAGGAGGAGCACCAGCCAGGGGTGCCAGGCCCTTCCAAACTTATGCACAGCTTGCAGCTTGAAACGTGCGGGATTTTGCAGGATCGTCGTTCTGACTAGGAGCAAAGGGCATCGCTACTAGGAACAAGGACGCTACTAGGAGCAAGTGCATCGCTTCTAGTAACAAGTGCCTTACTAGTAGCAACAAGAAGCTACTAGGGGCTCCTGGCCTTACTACTAGGAACAAGAACGCTACTAGGAGCAAAGGGCATCGGTAGGTCATGCAATGACATGAATGTGAGTCGTAGCAGGCCAGCATCCGGTTCCACAGCGCTTGGTGGCCCAAATGTGAAGATACGAAGTCAGAAGGAGCCCCTAGTAGCTTCTTGTTCCTAGTAGCGATGCCAGGAGCCCCTAGTAGCTTCTTGTTCCTAATAGTAAGGACTGCTACAATTAGGCTTTATAAAAGGATTGAGATGGCATGTAAATTTGCAGGAGAAGTGGCCGACTTGCATGAGTCAAAATCTGTCAAGTCCGTGCCCAGGTTGGCGGTGCCCGGTGAGACTGCTCCACGGCCTCGGATGCCGCAAGCCCCTCCAGCCCCTTGGATGGGTTGGCACTTGACTCTTCGTTGTCAGTGGGAAGCACTAATCGCAGGTCGTGCAAGGAGGTGCCACGAGGAAACATGATCCATGGGCCATGGGCCATAAGTGTTCATGGGTCTTTGGACAGTTCCTGCGATTTGAGGCACCAATCAAAACAAGCGGCACCACGGCAGGCAGTGGCGTGGTCACGCCAGGTGCATCCCCGCTTGCCAGCAGCTGTACGGGGGGCCATTTGGTGATTCTTGTCACTTCTGTCATTTTTTCCTGGGCTTGCATGCAGCACTTGGGGCACGCAGGGGTCTTTGGCTCAATGGAATTTGACTGTGTCAACAGCGCAGTTCCACACAGCTGTTCATACAACTGTGCAGAACTATATAGATGGCTGAGGGCAAAGTCTTACTGAAACTCCAATGTTCTTGGGGACCTAGTGCAGTTCAGTCTACTCCACAGTGATCGCGGGCATCAATGGGCAGCCACCATGACAAGCAGGCTGGGTACCGGTGATAGCATAGGGATCAACAAATAAAGAAACACATAGAAAAACACAATAACCACCCAATCAACAGAACAAACAACATAATTGCCTAATCAGCTGGTCCCTTGGTCCCCTGGCCTTTGGTCCCCTGGTCCCTTGGTCCCTTAGTCCGCTGGTCCGCTCTATGCTCCCTTGGTCTGGTGCGGTCACCTGGTAGGGAGGCGAGGAGGCGACGGCGATGTCTCAGAGGAGTGTTTCGAACTGCGGCAAAGAGAGGAGGGAGGTGCCATTCCAACGTAATATACCTTGGTGAGCGCCCTGAGGGTACAATTTAATGTGGAAGGTGTCATTCCACGGTAGCACACCTTTTGTGAAAAAAAGTGCTTCAGAGAAGAAAGGGGCCATTGCCATGTAGCATACTTTTTGTGAGCAATCCGAGCGCACAATTGAGAGGAGAAAGACGGCACATACCTTTTGTGAGCTCCCTAACATTTAGAGGAGGAAGGTGCCACATACCTTTTGTGAGGCGCCCTAGCGGAAAACTTGGAGGAGGAAACAGCAATTCCAAGGTAGCTTTCCGTTTGTGAGCCACCCGAGGGCAAAAACTAGAAGAGGAAGGGGCCATTCCGATGTAGCATACCTTTTGTGAGCCGCCCGCGCTTAAAATATAGAGGTGGACGCTACCATCCCAATGTAGCAAAGCATACCGTGTACGGCTACTACTTCTACTTCTACTACTACTACTACTACTACTAACTACTACGACTACTACTACTACTACTATTAATTACTATTGCCTCTTATTCTGCTACTCTTGCTGCTGCAACTGCCCCTAGAACCACTACCACTACTCCTATTCCTACTGCTACTGCTGCTGCTGCTACTGCTACTGCTACTGCTACGACTACTGCCAACTGTAACTGCTACTGCTACTGCTGCTGCTGCTGCTGCTACTCCTGCTGCTACGGCTGCTGCTGCTGCTAAGACGTCGACTACGACTGCGACTGCTATAGGGAACACATTTTTTGATTCTTTGTTTTTTTTCTTGACGCGCGGGAATTCCTTTTGACTTGTTATATTATTGTTTTGTTTTTATAGCTCACCCTGCCGGTGGTCAGCAGGCTGGTCATGTCAGATCACACCTGGCCCTCTTCATGTGAGCTGTTCAAAAATTGTTCCCTCGTAGCCCACCTAGAGAGGGAGGGTTTTCTAGGTTCTGATCGTAAGTCATGTGGGGCAGGCAGTCGGCCAGAAAAAAACCGTTGCAGTTCCGAGGGCCACCTTTGTGCCGGAGATGGTTTGCCTGGAACATAATTGGATTTAGCTCAGGACGTGGGAAGAATAAGGGAGGCATGCCACCCATCCAACGAATAAAAGACAAATTGATATCTTGCACTCAGGTGTGTCTGTGAGAGAGAGAGAGTGGTGCAGTAGACATTTCAACATCAGTACAGTACAGTACATGTTAATATATGTTTCGTTACTTGGAGGGCCATTTGGCTCAAGGCTCCAGCTCAGAGCTCTCAGCTGAAAAACGAAGAGATGGCCTCCTTCATGGAGGGCACATCGGAGGAAAAGATGCCGTTACTGGAAGAAGGAAAAGCAGACGCTGCAAACGAGGCAGCAAAGGAAAATGAGGAGGTTGCAGAGGTGGGGCCAAGAGCATGGAATCAACTATGTACTGTAAGAGTTTTACAGTTTTCTAAAGCATGACATATGAATAGTGGCATGCCACAGCGGCACATGGGACTTTGCTGATGCGCGGGTTTGTTGAGGCAGATTCCATGAGCTATGATGCTCGGACCTTGGTAACCTTCAAGGTCTTCAGCAATCTGGCTGGCACTGTTTGGACGAAAGCATCCCTGTGGAAAATGATGGGGACTCTTCTCCTGATTGCCTTGACTGTGGCGGCCTGTATCGCCGTCTCTTGGCTTGAAAGTTGAAGCACAAGGGCACGGCAAACTAACTGAAGCACAGCCAAGACCGTTGGCGGCTTTGGCCTTCAGGTGATGGTGAAGGATCCTGCCAAGCTCAATGTGGCGAGGTTCCAGCGCATCAGCAGTTTCTTGGAAGTTGTCGTGGGCCTGCTTCTCGGTTTCTTCCTGTCCAGTTCTATGCAAAGGCCTTGGATTGAAAAGCTTGAAATGCCGACGGGGCGCTATATATATATATACACATGTATAACTAGGATGAAACTGCTTGAGGGAAGCAGTTCAGTCTTTTGGTGACATTGGAGATCTTACGCTTCTTCATCGGAGTTTTACGGTGCAGGTGGTACAGCTGCACGAATGGTTTCTTGGAACTCTTTGATGCCATCCGCGGCTTGCACATGCAGTTGAATGCGATGGGTGTATCTAAGGCACCTAGCCTTTGTCAGTTTAGCTGTGCAGGTGGAAACAGAATCTGAGCAAGAGAGGAATTGAGTACATCAAAATAGCATAAAATAGCCTTGGTTTGGCAGATGCTCAATTGTTGAGGAGAAGGTCCAGCTTTGCTTGCGCTACTGTGTGGTGCCGCTTGCTTGTATGAACCTGCCGGACGGGACCACATATTTGCAGAACCAAAGGGTTGCACGAAGTCTTCCGCTGTTTGTTGGTGCCTATGGTCTTGGTTTGTAGGCATTTGTGATTTGATGTGGGCACCTGCTGGGGTAAGGTCTGCGCATTGCTTGAATCATGATCTCACGGCCTCGCCTATGACACCTGAAGATGCTGCGGAGTACCTTGCAAGCTGCTGGGCAGATTTGACGGTGGAGAAAGAGGCTGAAACTCGGAGTGCACATGTTGTGATCCATCAATGGGTTCGCTCACTGAGAGTGCTAAGAATCAAACATTCTGAGACAATTTTTGCTGCAAGGACATCGCATGGGAGGACAAATCAACGAGCATGGCTCGACTTCTGCCTGGCGAGACCGACGTCCTCAAAAACATTGTTGATCCAGCACAGACACTTTGGGTGTGGATCACTTCACTTCTTACGAGAATGTCGGCAGATGGTGAGATTCCACCCATGCCAACTCCCACCTACGGCCGAATCATCAGCATGGCTGAGCAAGCCTATGTTGGAATTCGTGCAGTTCGAGCATCCATCCGCGTCCAGCCTCCTTATGTTCATGTGCAAATGATGGCAGCTTTGGTGCTTGTAACTTTGGCCGCACTCCAAGACAGGAGGCAAAGTTAACTTTGACGTACTTTGATCCTGGTTTTTCAACATTATCCGTTTGAGAGGGTGTTTGTGTTGCGAGGTGAACAATATTGTAAATGCGATCAGTATTGGCCTGACTTCCGGCGTCACCCTAAGCTTGGTCTGGCACGGGCTGAAGTGGGCTTTTTCAAAAGCAAGGTGCAATCAGAGGATCTTTCTCATGGACTTCAGGCGCTCAGTGTGGGAACAAAATGTCCGTTTGTGTTCATTTTTGTGTTTGTGAGTAGGGAAAACGTGCCGTAACATGCTACGTACAAGCCCGCCATAAGCGCAAATTGAATGGCCAATCATGACCAAGACCCGATTCAGGACTTGGCCGTGGGCATGATCTTGTGCAGTGTTGGGCCATTCCTGTACCAGGCGCTCCTGGAAGTAGCAGTGTGCATCGCACAGCCCTTCGCCATTGCGGGGAAAGGTGTTGCCCCCGGGCGCATCCCCACGGAGAAGTTGCTGCAGCATCTGGAGAAGGATCTCAAAGACATCGAGTTCATGAGCACTAACTTGCCATGGTGGAACCAAGCGTACTTCAAGAACAAATGAGAGCCATGGCATGTCACAGTTGCGATTCCGCAATCGAGTGCGCTTGGAAAAAAGGGAGGACAGCATTCTGCTGACCGGCTTCACTTGACAGGGCCTTGGACATTTGCTTTCTGCCAATGTTTTTGTTCTCGAGTTCCTTTGTGCCTGCAATGTGGCAGGACACGCATCGGTGGACGGGTCAATCAGGCAGCTTGATTTTTCTTGCCGAAATCTGTCTACCTGGCTGGCTGGTCAAGTGACTTAGGCTGGCTCAGGTCTTTCATGGTCTTTCGGTGGGTGCTTACTGGTGTCAAACTAGAATCGTTCTGTAGTGGTTATTGACACAGTTGTAAGAACCTCCGGGGGGGGGCAGGGCGGAGTACAAATGTTAAATACATGCTGCGAGATGCTGACCATTGTGGGGCTCAAACCAGATGTGCGGGTGTGCGGCAAGGGCCTGGGTAGCCTTTGCGGTGGGAAGGAGCGCTCGATGCTGCTGACGCAAGTAGCTCAGCTGCATGTGCGCCACATGTTTGACTTGTCTGACGGCTGGGTAACCAGTGTTGTCCAAACTTGATTTCAAACAGTTTCTTGTGCTGTACAGGATCCATGACAGTGGCAAACGTGTAATGCCGCATGGTTTTCCGTTGGCTTTGAGGTGAACAATTGGTCAATGGAATCGCCGAGGCTATCTCAAGTTGTCAATTTTTTGCAGTTTCCAATTTTTTATTTGATGCCAGTTCTTCTTGCCTAATAAAATAGATTTTACATGATTTTACATGGATGAACAAAGAAAAAACTCGAAGAGCTGAGTTGAAGAACCTCAACTGTTCACATGCAGTTCACCTTACAAAGACAAAAGGTGAAGGATCAATCCAGAAGGTCATAACATTGAAACATTTGGTCATCCCATGTAGAAGATCCATGAATAACTTTACTCAATTAGCCATTGATCAATGCATCAAATCACCATTATATAGTCACCACCGTTGTTTCCTGCTGGTTCTTGCTGGACGCTCCGCGAGACACCACCGCACAAAGAAAATGAGAGTCAGCTAAATGGCTGGGATCGATGGGCCGCCGTGGGCGCCGCCGTGACAAGCAGGTTGGGTCGCTCAGGATGTTTTTTGAAGACCAGGTACACAAATTGTTTGGGTTGAAACATGTTGAACGCGGGTGGGAAAGCATGAAAGCATGTCCGGTGTGCTTGGAGGCCATCGCTATTAGGTGGAGGCCATTGCTATTAGGTTCCTCAACGTTTTTAAAGGTTTCTTTCAATGTGGCCAAGTGGGAAGGCGCAGAAGCAATGGTTGTCAGAGAAGCGGCGTTTCTCGGCATCGTTTCAACACAGGAACCTGCTTTCTTGGACTTTCTTGGTAATTGTTGGTGGTGTTTTTTCACTTCCAAATGTTGGTGGTCAACCGCTTGCCGGCCGAGGTGGAGCAGGTGGAGCAGATGCTGAAGAGGCTGAATGAATAGGTTGACAGAAAGCTGTACTTTGTTGTTGATTTGATCAATGGAAGGTGATAGTTTCATGGTTACAGTAATGACCCTTTGAATGAAAGCCAATTGCAAACAGTCAGCTTTCTAGCAAAGAAGGTGCGGCCCCGTCCTTTGGCAGCTGAAGAAGACTTCCAAAGCCTTTTGACTGAATGGTTTCGATAGATAGAATGATTCCACACATAGAAAAGTCCAGAGCGACCATGCAGATAGTTCTAAAATCTTTGGTTGCTACGCTGCCCAAGGTTATTATGACTCACAAGGATTCTTCGGTCATGGTCCACACTCCGCAGAGGAACAGGCAGCTCGGAGATTTGCATTCGTGACAGGGCCTTTCGATTTCTTCACTGCCAGGCAGCCTTTTGGGAAGCTTTGCGTTCTCCCTTGCCAGTCACTTTGCTAGCTGCTGAGCTTGCAAGCGGGCTTTGGGGCAAACACTTGAAGTGGGCTAAAGGCAAACAACTCGCTACTAGGAACGAAGCGAAGGGCATCGCAACTAGGAGCAAGGACGCTACTAGTAGCTCCTGGCATTTCTACTAGCAACAAGAACGCTACTAGGGGCTCCTGGCCTTACTACTAGGAACAAGAAGCCACTATATAGTAACAAAGGGCGTTTCTACCAGCAACAAGAACGCTACTAGGGCTCCTGACCGTACTACTAGGAACAAGAAGCTACTAGTAATAAAGGGCATTTCTACTAGCAACAAGAACGCTACTAGGGGCTCCTGGCCATACTACTAGGAACAAGAAGCTACTAGTAACAAAGGGCATTTCTACTAGCAACAAGAATGCTACTAGGGGCTCCTGGCCTTGCTACTAGGAACAGGAAGCTACTAGTAACAAAGGGCGTTTCTACTAGCAACAAGAACGCTACTAGGGGCTCCTGGCCGTACTACTAGGAACAAGAAGCTACTAGTAACAAAGGGCACTTCTACTAGCAACAAGGACGCTACAAGGGGCTCCTGGCCTTACTACTAGGAACAAGAAGCTTCTTCATACTATATTGTAGCAAAGGGCATCGCTACTAGGAGCAAGGGCGCTACTGGTAGCTCCTGGCATTTCTACTAGCAACAAGAATGCTACTAGCGGGCCCTGGAACATTTCTACTAGCAACAAGGGTGCTACTAGGGGCTCCTGGCCCTACTACTAGGAACAAGAAGCTACTAGTAACAAAGAGCATTTCTACTAGCACCAAGGAAGCTACTAGGGGCTCCTGGCTTCACCACTGGGAACAAGAAGCTACTAGTAACAAAGGGCGCTTCTACTAGCAACAAGGAAGCTACTAGGGGCTCCTGGCCATACACTAGGAACAAGAAGCTACCAGTAACAAAGGGCACTTGTACTAGCAACAAGGATGCTACTAGGGGCCCCTGGCCTTACTACTAGGAACAACAAGCTACTAGTAACAAAGGGCATCGCTACTAGGAGCAAGGACGCTACTAGTAGCTCCTTGGCACTTCTACTAGCAACAAGAACGCTACTAGGGGCTCCTGGCTCTAGACTCTACTACTAGGAACAAGAAGCTACTAGTAACAAAAGGCATTTCTACTAGCGACAAGAACGCTACTAGGGGCTCCTGGCCTTGCTACTACTAGGAACAAGAAGCTACTAGCAACAATGGGCATTTCCACTCGCAACAAGGACGCTACAAGGGGCTCCTGGCCCTACTACTAGGAACAAGAAGCTGCTAGTAACAATGGGCATTTCTACTAGCAACAAGAACGCTACTAGGGGCTCCTGGCCTTACTACTAGGAACAAGAAGCTACTAGTAACAAAGAGCATTTCTACTAGCAGCAAGGACGCTGCTAGGGGCTCCTGGCCTCACTACAAGGAGCAACAAGCTACTAGTAAAAAAGGGCATCGCTACTAGGAGCAAGGACGCTACTAGTAGCTCCTGGCACTTGTACTAGCAACAAGTAGGAACAAGAAGCTACCAACCAATACTCGTAACAAATGGCATCGCTACTAGGAGCAAGGACGCTACTAGGGGCTCCTGGCCCTGCTACTAGGAACAAGAAGCTACTACTAACAAAGGGCAGTTCTACTAGCAACAAGAACGCTACCAGGGGCTTCTGGCCATATTAATAGGAAGAAGAAGCTATTAATTCTAGTAACAAATGGCATCGCTACTAGGAGCAAGGACGCTACTAGGGGCTCCT